AAGTATGGGTAAGGTAGGTGGCATAGCATAGATAACAACCGATGGCATCCCAGCTGCCCCAAGTCCCAAAAAGAAAAGAGCGTTGCAGTTGCGGTCGTAGCTGCTGCGTTTGCCAGAGATTCAGTTCAGCGGACATGGACGCCGGACGAGACGATCAACTGCTGCTGCTGCCCGCTGCTCGGCCTCGGGACGGCACCCGCTAGCGTTGCACTAGAGCCAAATGGGAGCTTCTCCACAAAAGCGGGCCACTGACGTCGTGCCACGGTGCACCTCAGAGAAACACTCCGCGAGCTGGTGATTGGGCGCCGCACTGCTGGCATCAGCCACATCAAGCGGGCAGTATGAGCCACGTATCTCCCACCAGCCACAGCACCGCACGTGCCATGGCGGGGCTTCAGTCTGGCTGATGGCTTTTCCTCCGTGCTGAGACTCATCGAGGCGACCCAAGGCAATGACGGCGTGACCCATCCTCCTGGAACCAGCAGAGTCATTGACTTTCTGCCCTGAACAAATCGGACTGGGGAAACATGCACCTCGACTTCGACACCCCTATGAATCATCGACGTCTTCCGCGAGCGCGTGTTTGAGTTTTCCAGTCGCCTGGTAGCGCGAGTCCGGCTCAAATTTCGACGTCTGCACCCACAATCGGATAAAGCCCCGCAGCGTCATACTTCACTGGCGTCGGCCATCAAAACCCCAACCAACCTCATCGCCGTCCATTGCTGTTTGCTGTACTTGTATCGCATCGTACTACACGTCGAAAGGACCACAGCATAACCGCCCTCTGTTGCGATCGGCCAGTCTCTATCGTCTTGGCCCGACCAACCCAGTGAAACACCAGTGTCTTTCTCCGTCTCAGTATGAGTAGCTTGCTTCTTTGGATTTCGCGACAATACTTCGAACCCTGAAGCCTGCCTGTATCTAATGGCATCATCATCAAAACTCGACGACCTGGTGGTAAGTCTTCCATGGCTGATGCGTGCACACTGCAAGCTACAAACATCTTCTAGACTGTTGTTAACCGCATCCCAGGCGGAGTTTCCCCTCCTAGACCCCACAGTTGTTATTGCAATCGCAAGTGAGCTGGACCTCAGCGATGCCGGCCAGCTCAACGACGTCCGGGGCATGCTGCAGAGCCTTGCGCAGGACGTTCTGGCTGAAGAGGCCAGCGGCTTCAACGCCAGTGGTGTTCCCGATGCTCTCAGCTCTAATGACGCTGGCACGGACACCAGAGACAGCTCGACCAACATCTCTGACGGTCTCCACCTGAGAGACTGTGACTCGGCGAGAACCGGCGTCACGAGCCCCCCTCCCCCAGACGAGCTGGAGTATGACGTCCCGCGCATCAAGACCTTCGACCGCGACTCGGAGCAAGAGAAGCTGCTGCAGCTGCAGGAGATGTTCTCCGACCTGAAACCCCACGACGTCAGCTTTGCTCTCAAGAAGGCACAAGGTGATTTCCAGTCCGCTCTGGAGACGTTGCTGAACATTCAGTTCCTCGAGTCCATCAGCGAGCGGCCCAAAGGCATCGATGGGTTCTTCCAGCCGGAGCAGTCGAAGCCATCCGGCAAGAAGAGGGGCAAGGGCAAGAAGAAGAAGGACCTGCGCACTGATCTCTCGTCCAGCTCAAGCAGCATTAATGACAGCTCGCCAAACAATGAAGATAATGACAGTAAGTTCAACAGCATATTGATGAAGGGCTGAAACTAACTCGTCCCAGGAGTTGAAAAGATCCTCTTCATCGTGGAGAAGCTTGACCTACCCTTTGAAGAAGTCTCTGACGTGTTCGACTCCCACAAGGGATCCGTCGAAGGCACCATTATCGAGTTCCTGGAACGGTACATCAAGCAAGGGGTAGTTGTCGACGACAGTGACAGTGCCTATGGAAAGCAACACGTACACGAGTTGAAGAAGCAGTACCGCCATATACCTGAAAGTCTGCTGTCCCCGCTCGTCGAAGTCACCCGTAGCGACCATCAATGGACCGAGGAAGTTGCTGCCTTGTTGAACCGGTACTTTGGCAAACTTCCAGCACAGCGCTTGAATATCAGCTACAAATTGGCCCCCCTGGCGAATGAGGAACTGGAGGGTTCGTCAGAGGGCTGGCAAAAGGTTGCATCGCCAAAGACGTCACTCATGTCTCCAACCGGGCGACCGCTTAACAGCCCGACGCTCATGAACAGCCCAACGTTTGGGCCCCGCACTTACAAACAAGCAATGGACACCGCCGGTATTCACCGCGATGCTAGCACCCATTCGTTCAGCACCGCCGGCCAGGTTTACAAGAAGGGCCACTTGTACAGACAGGCGACAGGATTCTTCGCCGAGCGCGGCCGCGAGGAAGCAAGAAGCTTCGCCAAGGCCAAGAGTGCTGCTGCCGACATACACGTCGGCAGCACGCGTACTGCAAACGAGATCGACCTTCATGGTGTGGAGGTGGCCGATGGTGTCCGGATCGCACGGGAGAGTGCGTGGGACTGGTGGAACAACCTGGGTGAGTACAGGGCGCGAAAGGCTCAGGAGGGCTTCACGATTGTTACGGGCCGCGGCCTCCATAGCGCCGGAGGCGTCTCGCGACTGAGGCAGGGTGTTATCGCCGCTCTGGTCAATGACGGGTGGAAGGTCTCAGTCGGGACGGGTAGCTATCGCGTAACCGGGCGACGGTAGCGATCGGTTGGAGCCGATTTGGACAGCGGTTGTCTTGCTTGCGTCACCCCAACTGCATGCGAGACGCTCGGAGACTTTTTGATGCCAGGCAACAGCATTAATGCCCTGAAACTAGCATATCCCGCCGGTTTCTGCATGATTTGACAAGAGAAGGGAATTAGAGCAGCGTTTGGTCTGGACACGACGGATGCAATTTTTTGATGTCATCAGCGAAGATACCACTGGGTAACGACTGTTAGAAGGAGAAGGCACATACACTGGGAAAGATGGACTACATTGAACGGATATACTTGGACGACGCCTTTGCACATGAAATCAATGGGTCTGGCAGCAGATCTGTATGAATTTATTGGCCGTCATTGTCACCAGCGATGCTATCACGCTCTCCGCCTGACATGCCTTGATCGTCACTTTTTCAGCCTTATCTCAAGTCCTTTCGATTCCTCCTGGATTTCCGCTCGGCAAGTGATTCTGCCTTTTGCTGAAGTACGCGTGTCAACCCCAACGCTGCATGGCTGAAAATGAGGCAAAGCAGGGGGGACTTTGGTCGTCGATCACCACACTAACTTGCTTCCCACGAAGACAACGCCGTATTCTCACCACCATCACAGCAACACAGCCCGTTAGACACTCGACCGCTAACTAACAACAGCCAACGTCAAACAATGGCGTGAACTGAAAAGAGTCGCTCGCCCCCTTGCACCGCCCAACACCCCGCAGCCGCCGCTCGCGTCCAATAAGCGACCTGCGCCACACCAACAACAACACAGGGGAGGGGCTGTTTGCACGTACTCCAGGCACCGAGATTTCACAACACCTCACTGGCTACAACCTCCGCACCAAGCTTTTGACGACATGCTTCCAATAGAGTGGTGCAGTCAAGCCGGGCGAAAGATGCGGCTCTCTTTCTGTCTCCTGCATACCTCGCTTGCGGCTCCGACTTGTTCGACGGGAGGGGCTGGGGTTCAGTCTGGAATTGGGGCACTGCCAGCTTGCCTCCTTGGAAGGACTTTGGTTCCCTCCATCCATCTACGAGTTTGAAACGCCGTACTTGAATCGCAAAGCCTCAGTGATGTGAGAGGAATCTGCTATATAACCAGTCCGCCCTCCGCCGTGTTCATCAGATGAGTCCGTGTCAATGCATAATCAGCTCAACAACCCCATCCCATCATCCACCCAGGACACCTACCCTTACCACCCGATCGACATCGAAATCTCCAGAGAAGCATCCATCAAGTGTCTCGGCACCTACAAAACCATGGCCTCGCCGACATCTACCTCGCCCGCGCCCGCGCCCGCGCCGCCCACCGCCGTCTCGCCGCGTCCGCTGCACCCCAACGTCTACCGTCCCACCACGCCACCCTCCCCCACCGGCGCCGCCCCGTCAAAACCAGCCGCCAACTTCGTCCTCCGCACCGTCGCCATCCTGCGCGCCCTCGCCCTCGTCTTCGCCATCGTCCTGCTCGTCCTCGAGTTCGAGGGCCGGCGGCACTACTCCTTCGCCACCTTCTTCATCGTCGTCGCCTTCTTCCAGCTCTTCTGGCTCGCCTTCTCGCTCCTCGCGGAGATCCTGCCCGCGCAGCACCACGGGCGCCGCAAGGGCGTGACGCTCGACTTTGGGGTTGTGAAGTGCATCTTTGGCCGGAGCGGGTACCCGGACGACAGCGATGATGAGGAGGCTGGGATGCTGCTGATGGGGTTTGCGGGGGATGTGCCGCGCAAGTGGAACCGGCGGGATCTGCTGTTTTCGGTGGTGGACTTGGCGCTCGGCTCGACGACGTTTGGGATTGCGGTGACGAATGTGAACGGGAATGGGCGGTGGTATGCGTGGGAGACGTTTCATACCATTGGGGCGATCGCCCTGGTTGTCGCGTGAGTCTTTTCCTGTCTGTGATCTTTGAGAAAAGTGAGGTTTGCTGACTGGTGGGAAACAGGTCGTTTGAGTTCGTGATTGCCGTAGCGCAGCAGATTACCCTCCTGAAGCGGGCCAGGATCCGGATCTCGCACGATGAGGAGGGCGATGAGGACGCCGGGTCGCACAAGTACCGCATCCGTTTGCCCGAGAGCCCGGAGCGGGGCAGGCCTGCCATGTCTGTCGCTGCTCACACGGCGATCTGATGGTAACTCGTAGTTGGCAATAACTGCGCCGGCGTTACCTGCACGGAAACATCAAGAGTGAAGACAGGATGCTTTGTTCAAGACTAGTGCCATCTCGACAAGTAGACAAGGTGGAAGCGTGTGTGTGCCGGCAGTGCGCAGAGATCCTTCCAAATAGTCTATAAATCTATAATCTACATCTACCATGAACCATGCAAATAGATCCTCGTGTACGTTTACTGGGTCAGACCCCTTTTAACCGCAACGTCAGCACCGCACCGCTCCCAAATATCCCTACTCGTCAGCACCGTCGTGACAAGCATCGCAATTCCAACAGCCCCAGGCCCGATATTAACCCACCCCAGAATGACACCCGGAATGAGGCAGTCCAGCGTGTCGGACACCACCTTGCGGCCGAGCGTCTTGACCTTGAACGCGACCTGCCTCCGCCACCTCCTCATCCCCTCGCGCCTCTTGACCACCAACGCCTTCAACCGCTGCCGCTCGGCGTTCAGGTCCATCTTCTCCGGCTCCTCCCCCTCTCCCTCCTTCTTCTCCTTTGCTCCCAAATTGTCGGTATCCACCGCGGGGCTCTGGCCCGTACCATAACCCTCGCCGTGCTGCGGGACCGGCGCGTACGCAAACGCCTTGGTCATCCTCACCACATTCGCCGCGATACCGCACGCCAGCGCGAGGAACCAGAAGCGCTGCGCCTCCACATTCAACGCCTTCGTGCGCGCGGCGCCGAAGGGCGCGAGGCCGGGCACGCCGAGCAGGTCCGGCAGGGTGAGGGACTCGAGGCCGCCGTAGAGGCCGAGGAGGGTGAACCGCAGAATGTCAAGCCACACTTCGGCGCCTTTACCCGCGCCGGGGCCCTGGGAAGGGGCGGCGGTGTAGAGGTTGTAGGACGCGCCGAAGGAGTTGAGGAACCAGAAGAAGCGGATGAAGCGGCGGGTGAGGTTGAGGTGGCCCTTGAGCGGGCCGAGGGCGGCGAGGATCAGGGCCGCGTCTAGGGGCAGGCCTGCTGCGGGGAGGAGGGCGAGCAGGAAGGGGTAGGTTGTCAGGATTGCCGTTAGGGATTGGAGGCCGCGGAGGATGCGCTCGAGGCCGGCTGGAGGATGTTAGTTTTGCGGTTTGGGGGAGATTGGGGGTTTGAGGGGCGTGAGCGAGCGGGATGAGATGGGATATCTCTGCATGGGGATTGAAGGTTCGTTTCAGGATCTGACGGTGCTCATTGAGTTCTCAAGTGAACCCAAAATTGCAACGTTCGGTGAAGAAAAATGAGTGAGACTGAGTAACTCACCGCTATCCGAGCCAAAGGCGACGAACTGGTCATATTTGAACGAGGTCATCTTGAGATATCCCTCCGGTCGGGCCTGAAAGAAATCACTAAGTCGCTGCAATGCTCCCTCAATCAATCAGTGTGTCTGATCAAATTCTCATCCGACGTTCCTGTGAGGCGGTCAAGTGAAATCTTCAGGCCCGGTGGTCGTTGAACAACAAAGAGGCGCCCCGCCGTGGCCGTGGTCGGAGGGTCTTTGGACCGGGTTGAGCCGAGTTTGAGGCGTGCGGTGTCCGGCGCTGTGGACCGGGATCCTGGCTGGAGCGGATGCCAGCTGATCAAATGCGGTCCTCTGATTGGTGGGAAGCTTAACGCCGATGGACTGAAGAATGTCTGCGGCAGATTTGTGCCTGCGACTGTGGCCTTCTGGTGTACCGCCAGGATGGATAAGCGAACATTCACGTTGCACCCAGGAACAGACATGATTTAACGAATTGAAACACATCGCTGATAGAGTACAAGCCAGGTCTGTCTGAACAAAGGAACGCCTGCGCGTGAGGGCTCTATCACAATGTACGATACTAATATATACAAGCCCTCTGGCGCGAGTCTACCACCATGCGAAACCCCTCAGCCTTTTACTGTCCCGGCGCAACCAACTTGCCCTGGGCCCGGGCATCGGGGTCCCAGCCGCCGGCCAGCGCGTTGGCGCCGCCATTCTGCTGGGCAAACTCCTCCATCCTCTTCTCGAGCTCGGGGCGGAAATGCCTGATGAGACCCTGAAGAGGCCAGGCGAAAGCCTCGCCGAGAGCTGCCGGTCACGTTAGCATTGGGTCCAATCAAAATCGTTGACATCATTGACGTCATGGAGGCGAGTCAAACATACCGCAAATGGTGTGGCCCTCGACCTGCTTGGTAAGCTCCTGGAGCATGTCGATCTCGCGCGGCCGGCCGCGGCCCTTCTCGAAGCGCTTCATGATCTGGTCGGTCCACTTGCTACCCTCTCTGCAGGGCGTGCACTGGCCGCAGGACTCGTGGGCGTAGAAGTGAGAGAGACGGCTGATGGCGCGGACGACGTCGGTGCTCTTGTCCATGACGATGACGGCGGCAGTACCGAGACCGGACTGGCTGTCCTTCAGGGCATCAAAGTCCATGAGCTGGTTGTCGCAGATAGTCTTAGGGAGGATAGGGGTGGAAGAACCGCCGGGGATGACGGCCAAGAGGTTATCCCAGCCGCCGCGGACACCACCGCAGTGCTTGTCGATAAGCTCGCGCAGGGGTATCGACATCTCCTCCTCGACGGTGACGGGGTTGTTGACGTGGCCGGAAATGCAGAAAAGCTTGGTGCCCTGGTTACGCTCGCGGCCGAAGCCTGCGAACCAGCTGCCACCACGTCTGCAGATGGTAGGGGCGACGGCGATGGTCTCGACGTTGGCGACGGTGGAGGGGCAGCCGAAAAGACCGACGGCGGCGGGGAAGGGAGGCTTAAGACGGGGCTTTCCGGGCTTGCCCTCGAGGGACTCGATGAGGGAAGTCTCCTCTCCGCAGACGTAGGCACCTGCTCCACGGTGGATGAAGACATCAAAGTCGTAGCCGGAGCCGCAGGCGTTCTTTCCGATCAGACCGTCGGCGTAGGCCTCGTTGATGGCATTCTGGAGGACCGCGGCCTCGTGCACGAACTCTCCGCGAATGTAGATGTAGGCGGCGGTGGCGTTCATGGCTCTGCCGGCGACGAGGCATCCCTCGATGAGCTTGTGGGGGTCCTTTCGCATGATCTCGCGGTCCTTGCACGTTCCGGGTTCACCCTCATCGGCGTTGACGACCAGATATCTCGGCTTGTTGTCCTTGTCCCAGTCCTTGAAGTTCATGAATGACTGTTTGGCGATGCGTTAGCATCAATTGTGACCCGGCGGTGCCTTCCCTTGATTGCCGCGGCAAATAATCCGCAAGCCAAAGCGCTGTGGCGACCTTACCCATTTCAATCCGGAGGGGAAGCCAGCGCCTCCACGTCCTCTCAGACCAGAGGCCTTGACCTCGCTGATGATCCAGTCGTGGCCCTTGAGAATGATCTCCTTCGTCTTGTGCCAATCGCCCATCTTCTTCGCCGAGGCCAGAGACGGGGGCAGACGGCCGTACAGATTCTGGAAAATACGGTCCTGGTCCTTGAGTCCGCCATAGGTTCGTACTGTCGCGAAGTTTCGGGCGGCCTGCGCGGCCTGCGCTGGTAACCGCTTCGGGGTAGCCATCGTGGGCGTTTGGAGGGGAGAGGTCGGGGGTGGATGGGGACGGTTGGGTCGGTCGGAGGATTTCGTCGTCGTGGGAAGCGAAGCTCTGCAGGGCCGGGTCGATGATGCTTAGTTTCTGTTGGCGTTGATTGGCCAATGCGGGTCGCTGAGTCAGCGAGACAGTCACGTGCAGGTTATCCATGCATCAACCGGGGTTATGCACTGGGGAAGGCTCTGGGGAAGAGAAGCTGTCGCTGCCCCACGGCAGTCAGTCACTGCTCGTCCATTACGAATTATCGACGCGTCGATAACAGGCATCTTGCAGGGGCCTGCGATCGTCGCGCAGCTCAAGAATGCGTCTTTTACCGCCACGAAGATAGACATCATCTGGGCCGGAGCATCCAGCGCACAACGTTCAACATGTCGTCTAACAAGCGGCATTCTATGCTGCCCGCCGTCTCCAACACCGGCCCGCGACCACCAGTCAACTTCTCCTCCTCCCTCACCGTGTCCGACAGCGCCATTCTTGTCGGGACGCACTCAGTTACGATCCAGTCCGAAAGCGTGCTGCACCCTCGATGCAAGCTCGAGTCTACAAACGGCAGCATCCTGATGGGACGCCGCTGCATCGTCCACGAGCGAGTACACATTGGCGCAGTTGGAGATGAGGAAGCCAGCGGAGGCATCGCGCTCGGCGACTACGTGATAGTGGAAGTCGGAGCTGTTGTCGAGGCAGGAGGCACAGAGATCGGGTCGGACACGGTGATCGGAGTCCGATCTCGGATCGGCCACGGAGCTATCATTGGCAAGGTTGGTGCGACGTCGTGTATGAAAGAAGAGAGACACTGACGGCTGTAGAACTGCACGATATCGCCCCTCACCGTCATCAAGCCCGGCGAGAAGATTCCCGACTTCACCGTGGTGTATGCGAACGGCCAGAGACGGACGGATCGACGCGGCGTGGCAGATTTGAAGCACAAGGCGCAGGCGCGGCAGATTGATGTGCTGAGGAGGCTGATACCCAACAAGGCTGAGAAGTGGCTGATTTAACAAAGTACAATGATGATACCCCGAATTTACGTCGATTAAGCTTGCACCTTGAGAAGATGATTCAGTATCAGGGGTGTATGCGCAAGGCAGGGGTTGCTTAGTTGTGTCCCTGGATGTCAGCAGGCTACCGTCACAACCTGTCCACGAGGTCGGCAGGGAGCAGGGCTGGCCTACATGAGACTGAGAGCAACGGCAGGAACCGAACTGTTCCTCCTGCCTCATCTACTGAGACTTTTCATGATGATTCCTAGCCAGCCTGTCTCCGCTGGTTAACCATATCCTCACCATCAAAATAGGGGCTGGTTGACACCAGCAACGAGAATCACTTTGCTCCATAACAACAGCAGCAACCAGTCTTCCTACTAGATGCACTCAGACAGTATGGAACTACAGAAGTCCAATCTGTGGTTCCTGCCAAGCTTTCCTATCGGAACCTATTTAGATGGAGGGCCTTGGCAGGAGATTCAATGCTTCATGATAATTGCGTTTGTTTGCTTCTACCCTTGCGGGCAGCTGCATGATTCTGAATGCATCATGTCCTGAATTACTGAAGGCCCGAATATTTCAGCATTGCACTTAGACTCTCGTTATCGCAAAAAGAGAAGCTGATTCCAGACTCTCCGACAACAGTTAAAGAGGGCAACCTCGTCTCGTCGTCGTTAAGTAGTTGTCTTAAGTGGCATTGTCTCTGAAACAAGGTTAATCTATCACGGCCTCAGCTGAAGAACACCACCTCCAAGCTGGCGGTAGCGTTCGTATGCCGCCAATTGCAAGGGTTATGTGATGTTACCAGTCTGGTGATGAGATGGTACAGTCGCCGGTATGTCCTTGTATAAGACAAAAGGCGTCAGTCTCGTCATGTGCCGTAGAGTGGAAACATCCATTGCTAGACCAGGGTTGTTCCTCACCATCCGGGCGGGAATTCTTGTGGGGTTTCTTTCACCAATTTGCGATTACGCGAGAACGAAATACACATTAATGACAACGAAAAATCGTATCGATACACAAGGATCCCCAATTCGGCTTCGCAAATGCCATGTTGTCCGTGAGGCTCCCGTCGTCAACACAAGGTGTGATGAATGATGGATGCATGGCCCTAATTCTTGGCAGCCCTGTGACAGCCTGACAGGCGGGACATGACCAAAAATAGCCCCTTCTTTCCACTACAGAACCAGATCTTAGGGGCAGTTCGTCTCTTCTCAAGCGCGAAAAGTTTAAATAGACAGCCCTAGCATGACACAGCTGGACCATCCTTAATCTCATAGGGCGCTCTGGGCAAGCTCCATCCCGGCCAACACAGGCGCAGCCGCACAAACACGGATCGCTTTCAATCTTAGCATGAGAGCGGAAAGAAATTGCAACTTCAAGCAGTCTGTTCGAATTGAAAAATTGACGAATCATGACCAACGGGATTGCATTTCCGATGGTACAGACATCATACGGAATTCGTATCGACATTCTCACGGGCGCTGGGACCACGCTTCGACACTGAAAGATGCGATGAACTGTTTGAACATGAAATATGGACTTGAACTCATATTATCTACAAGATTAAATCGAAGCTTCGGTTTCCAGAAAGCCTGTCCGCCGAAGAGGAATCTCTGCGCGGCATCTTAACCAGCCCACCGATCAAATTTCACGGGAACGCCGCAGGACCTCCTGTTGCCCACTGGTTTTGAATCCGGGCTACCCCTGTCCGAACAGCGGGGGGCCTGGATTTAGTGCGGGTGGCAGACCCAGAGGGTGTTGTCCGTCACGTCGATAGCCTTGCTGTCGACCTGCTTGCCGCTGCCGT